TTTTATTGGAGTATAGTTGCTTTACAGTGTTGTGTTAGTTTCTACTGTACAGCCAAGTGAATCAGCTATACATATACATATATCCCCTCTTTTTTGGATTTCCTTCCCATTTAGGTCACCACAGAGCACTGAGTAGAGTTCCCTGAGCTATATAGTAGGTTCTCATTAGTTATCTATTTTATACATAGTATCAATAGTGTATATATGTCAGGGACTTCCCTGGTGGTCCAGTGGTTAAGAATCCACCTCCCAATGCAGGGGATGTGGGTTTGATCCCTGGTAGGGGAACTAGGATCCCACATGCCACGGGGCAACTAAGCCCACATGCTGCAACTACTGAGCCTGTGCGCCACAACTAGAGAACCCTTGTGCCACAGCTACAGAGCCCACACGCTCTGGAGCCCGTGCCCCACAACTGGAGAGCTCACACGCCACAACTACTGACCCTGCATGCTCTGAAGCCCGAGCACTGCAATGAAAAGCTCACGTAGTACAATGAAAAATCCCATGCTGCACAACTAAGATCCAAGGCAGCCAAAAAAAAAAAAAAATAGTGTATATATGTCAATCCCAATCTCCCAATTCATCCCACTCTCCTTCCCCCTTGGTATCCATACATTTGTTCTCTACGTTTGTTCTCTACATCTGTGTCTCTATTTTTTCTTTTCAAATAAGATCATCTATACCATTTTTCTAGATTGCACATATATGCATTAATATACAGTATTTGTTTTTCTCTTTCTGACTTACTTCACTCTGTATGACAGTCTCCAGGTCCATCCACATCTCTACAAATGACTCAATTTTGTTCATTTTTATAGCTGAGTTATATTCCATTGTATATATGTACCACATCTTCTTTATCTATTTCTCTGTTGATGGACATTTAAGTTGCTTCCATGCCTTGGCTATTGTAAATAGTGCTGCAGTGAACATTGGGGTGCATGCATCTTTTTGAATTATGGTTTTCTCTGGGTATATGCCCAGTCGTGGGGTTGCTGGGTCATATGGTAGTTCTATTTTCAGGTTTTCAAGGAACCTACATACTGTTCTCCACAGTGGCTGTATCAATTTACATTCCCACCAACAGTGCAAGATGGTTCTCTTTTCTCCACACCTTCTCCAGCATTTATTGTTTGTAGATTTTTTTTGATGACAGCCATTCTGACCAGTGTGAAGTGATACCTCATAGTTTTGATTTGTATTTCTCTAATAATTAGTGATGTTGAGCATCTTTTCATGTGTTTGCTGGCCATCTGTATGTCTTCTTTGGAGAAATGTCTATTTAGGTCTTCCACAAATTTTTTGATTGGGCTGTTTGTTTTTTTGATATTGAGCTGCATGAGCTGCTTGTATATTTTGGAGATTAATCCTTTGTCCATTACTTCGTTTGCAAATATTTTCTCCCATTCGGAGGGTTGTCTTTTTGTCTCGTTTATGGTTTCCTTTGCTGGGCAAAAGCTTTTAAGCTTCATTAGGTCCCATTTGTTTATTTTTGTTTTTATTTTCATTACTCTAGGAGGTGGGTCAAAAAAGATCTTGCTGCAATTTATGTCAAAGAGTGTCCTGCCTATGTTTTCCTCTAAGAGTTTGATGGTCTCTGGCCTTACATTTAGCTCTTTAATCCATTTTGAGTTTATTTTTGTGTATGGTGTTAGGGAGTGTTCTAATTTCATTCTTTTACATGTAGTTATGCAGTGTTCCCAACACCACTTATTGAAGAGGCTGTCTTTTCTCCATTGTATATTCTTGCCTCCTTTGTCATAGATTAGGTGACCATAGGTGCATGGGTTTATCTCTGGGCTTTCTATCCTGTTCCATTGGTCTATATTTCTGTTTTTGTGGCAGTACCATACAGTCTTGAATACTGTAGCTTTGTAGTATAATCTGAAGTCTGGGAGCCTGATTCCTCCAGCTCCGTTTTTCTTTCTCAAGATTGCTTTGGCTATTCGGAGGATTTCCTTCTTTTTGAAAGCTAAATAATATTCCATTATATGTATATACCACACTTTCTTTATTCATTCATCCTTTGATGGACATTTAGATTGTTTCCATATCTTGGCTATTGTGAATAATGCTGCAGTAAGCATAGGCGTACAGATAACTCTTCAAGATTTGAATTTCAATTCTTTTAGATATATACCCAGAAGTGGGATTGCTGGATTGTATAGTAGTTCTATTTTAATTATTTGAGGAATCTCCATACTGTTTTTCCTAGTGGCCCTAGTGGCTATACCATTTTACATTCCTACCAATAATGTACAAGGGTTCCAATTTCTCAGTATTCTCACCAGCACTTATCTTTTTTTTTTTTAAATAATAGCCATCTTAACAGGTGTGAGGTGATATCTCATTGTGGTTTTGATTTGCATTTCCTTTGTGATTAGCAGTGTTGAACATCTTTTCATAAGCCTGTTGGCCATTCCGTATGTCTTCCTTGGAGAGATATCTATTTGAGCTTTAACTGAGTTATGGGATTATCCATTTTTTTAAATTAAGTTATGGAATGTTTAAGTTTTGTAAGTATTAGAAACAAATATGAAATGAAAGCATCTTAGGAAAAGTGGCATTTTCTAGTCATTATGAAAGCAGGAACTTTTTAATATAGGAAAGCTTCAATACTATATAGTTAAGTTTCATACATCATTGCCTCTCTTCAAATTCTATATTTATCTAAGCCTGTGGTTGTGATTGCTAAGGAATGCTTTTAAAGACAAGAAAGCCAAAGGTGATAATAGCCACTGGTCAGTATCTACTGATCCTGGTGAAAACATTATTGTTTCTGAAAGCCTGTTTAGTTAAGGAGTTATTTTAAACTAGCTTTACTCTAATGATTCTCAGAACAGCAGGGCCCACTCATGGAATTCTTACCATTCCTTGAGCCTGAGATAAAACCAAATTGTATAATACAAGGAAAATATACTAGGATTCAAAAAACAAAACTGTGAACTCAAGATATTTAAGAGATCTAATCTTAATTTTAAACAGTCTGTTCATGTGAAAAGGGTAGAGGTTGAAATATACTTTTAAAAAAAGCAAAACTATGAAGTCATACAAAATGAGCATTATATATGCCTGGGTTAGTCAGGAGTCTGTTAGTTTGCAGGATAATCTTAATATGTCTTTCATACTATAGCATTTTCATTGTATATGTACTTTGTTAATTTGTCTCCCATAGTGGGATTTAAGGCATATTGAAAGATTAGGACAGTTTTCTTGACTAATCTGTTTGACTAGGACACATTTCTGAATGATACTAGAAGTAATTTCAATAAAATTCAGATAATTTTTTTATTGACAAAAGGACTGACTCTTTGACTGTTATTTCTTTATACAGAGTTGTGTTAAGCTGGGAGTGGCTTGAAAATTAGGATAAATTAAAATGCTGATTATTTTATTGGAGAGACACTGTAGTCTTAGATCCTTTGGGGGAACACTTGTGGTGGTTTTAAAAGAATATCTTAAAAGTCATTTTTCTTCCAGTTGACCAATAACTCTCTTATCTTGTGTAAACATGGCAAACTACTTGGCACTCCCATAAGATCATGATTGTTAAGTGTAATTACCTAGCCTGATTGGACTCTCCATCACTTTAGATTGGTCATACTTGTAGAGCTTAGCACTAACTGTTAGGAATTTAGTTATTCAGGTAATTATTTTTTTTCTGTGATTTTTGTAGTAAGTTCATTTAATTTTCATATCTTTTGCACCAGTAAAACAAAGGGGGGGTGTCTTAATGGACCCAGAATATCTTGATGCCTTCTAGAAAGTTTTCCAGATGCTCACATCTGTAAACACATAGCTTAGCAAAAAAATCTACTGTGGTCGTGGGTTACTTTTCCTCTCAAGAAGATCAGTAACTCATTTGTGATCTCCTTAACAAAGATCAGATAAATACTGATTGCCTCAAAATGACATTATATTTTTTAAAAGTAATAAAGAAACAGCATGATGATGGCCATGTGATTTAGCGATGAAATTTAGCCGCAAGAGTTTGGGCCCAAGAGCATGTCATTCTACTTGACTGAAAAAGGTTGGCTTTACTTTTCTCATATTTTTTCCCATTACCTACAACCCTGTTTTTATATTAGAAGAGGTAAACTGCCAACACAGGAATATAGTGGTAGCTGTAGAATTTCTGTGTAGGAGGGGTTTAGGGATTTGACATAAATCTTCATTTTCTTAGCAGACAGGATGTTGTTTTTCAATTTGGTTTGGGGGATGGCTTGTTTGGAGGGAGGGCTGGTGGAAGTGATGGGGGTCTAAAGCCCCTCCTTGGCACTGTCACTCCTCACGGTTTCAGGACATTTTAACTGTTTGGAACTCAAGGGTTACCTTCTGAATATAGCATAAATAAATCTTTCGTTCAAAGAAAGCAAAGAGCACTAAAAAATGGTGAGGGAGACAAAGGGAACTTACTGAAAAGACCATGTCTTTGAGGTTTATTAATTATGGGTATGCAAATAGGTGCTAACTGTTGTGTAACTTGCAAATGTTTCATGTCTATTCTTCAAAGCAGTCCCAGCAGGAGTTTTTATATGGCAACCTGTTTAGCAGTTAAAGTTACCTTAGATATTTTTAAAGCAATTTCACTGAATTAAAGACCTGCCTAAATTTTAGCATATTTTAGGATAAATGCACATCTGCCTTTTTCCTCAAGTAGTCCAAATTAGGGAGATTTTTCTATATATTTAATTCCATTACTGCTGTAGGAACCTGGTTAAGGAGTAATTAATGCTGCACATTAGGTAAGAAGCAGCAATTGATTTTTGGTTCTATTTGGCTTATCTTTTCTGCTTAAGTGCTGATATTTAATTTGTAGGGAAACCTCTAAACAGGTCTATATTTTTATGTTTATCCTCTTCCTTGAACTGATGAAATAAACCCATTTATTGATTTGGGCATGAGCTTTATTAATGTAGCTAATATGCCTTACTAATGTGATTCTGTGTATTTGGATTAGCACTGTTATTATTTATGAATCAACATTTTTCTTTCAGTTCAAAAGAATGCAGAAGCTTTTGAAGAAAAGAAGACCCTGCCTACAAAGAAGAAAGTGAAAGAGTTGAGAATTTTGGATCCCAAAACAGCCCAGAATCTTTGTATGTGATTATTTTCTCAGTAGGGAGTGGTGGCGATGGTGGTGGTGAGGGGTTGTTGGATGTATTTAAAACAAAGTTATAACTTCTTTGAACAGGTATATTTAGCACCTACTAGGAACAAAATTCTGTGTAAACATGATTTAGGCTGCCTTTTTGTCATTCAGCCATAATAGAGACTACCATAATTTAGCCTTGGCTAGGCCAGGTGAAATTTATGAATAATAAAGCTTTGGAAAGTAATGATCATTCAGCATTGTTAGAGGCCACAGTGAGAGGAAAGGCAGAGTTGAAAAGAGTGTTATATTTTTTTTTCCTTCTGCCTAGGCCTGGGAGTGATAGTTTTAGAGTATTCACTAGTCACATTGGGCAAATCCTTTTACTACTATTTGCTTTATATTTGAAGGAATTGTGATGTGAGCTAGTTGTTAACCACTGTACTTTAAAACTGGTTAGTGAACCTTAAAGCCTTTAACAAAGCAGTCAACCATTAAATACGCTTTTCCTAAAGTAGCTGGACAGTTAAACCCATCTTCATTTGCACAGGTCCTAAGTTTTTCTTGACATAGTCTCCACTCTGTATTAAATTCAGCATTTGTGTGTGTGTGTGTGTGTGTGTGTGTGTGTGACCACAGTATGCTGTGTTTATATTCTGAGGATACTAAAACACTATGTATGAGAAATTTCAGCACATCAAGCATTTCTAAATATGCAGAGAAATACCTTGGGAGTTTATTTTGTGAAGGAGTGTGCTATAGAGAATCAGATTAAAGTAAACAACTCGTCATTCTCATTTTTGTGTCAGTAGGAATGTTGCTGTCAGAAAAGCAGTCTCCTAATAGCTGTTTTGCCTGTGTACATTGCTTACCCGACAGTCCTTTTTTTTTTATAAAGTGGATGTTCAGTACTTTAAAAAAAAAAAGAAACATAGTATGATCTTAATTGCTAGTTGATATCTGTCAACATTATTTATTTGGACTATGGAGGTCTCATTTGGTGTTTATGTCTAGGTAATCATTTGCCTGGACAGGGGAGGATGCTTTTTCTTTAGGTACCAGGGAAGGCATATAGACCTCTCCATGAAAAAAAAAAAAATTCTTAGGAATATATTTATGTTCTGGTGGTAAGAACACATGTATGTTCTTTAAAAAGTATGTTCAGTGGAGGTTAAAGTGGAATGTATTGTTGAATAATGCTTTCTGAGTCAGTGTAAGCTTTTCTAGGTATAATTTGTTGAATTATTCCCATATGGCATAATATATATGCATTTAAGAAAAAGTTGACAAGGGAAATCGTTGATTCAACATAAAAGCAACTAATAGCACACCTTATGAATGTCATCAGGGATGCAGAGAACATTGAGGATTCAGACACTTTAATTTTTTCTTATGTGGGAGAACTGCAAAGTAGATTGATATGGTTTTCTTAGTATCGGGTTACTTTACTGTCATTCTTGAGAAGTGCTGTATTGGATGCATCTGACAATCTCCATGGTAAATTCTACGTTGAATTAAAAGGCCTACTTGAGATAAAATTTCTAACTTTTCATGGGTTATTTTGTATTAGCTTCATCTAAAATGCATAAGCATGTAGTCATCAGTGCTGTTAGTAGTTTTATCTTATATATAAATACGCATGAGCTGTAAACATTAGACCCTGAGCTAATAGGCCATTTTGCCTAGATGAGTAGTATAGTCCATCAAATGGAAGCTACTTTTGTTTGCTCATAATTCTGTAGAGTAATATTAGTGACAGGAATTTCATATTTTGAGTCTATGAAATGGGAATCGGGTATTTATTAGGACTTTAAAATTGTGATGCTCTCCTTTTAATAAAATCAATTTTTATTTTAGCTATCTTCCTAGGATCATATCGTATGCCATATGAAGATATAAAAAACATCATTCTGGAGGTTAATGAAGACATGTTGAGTGAGGCCTTAATTCAGGTAACTTGCATATTTTGCTTTTAAATTTCATTTTCACAGATATTTCTAGATTGCTGTCCTTTCGGTGGAGTTGTGTGAAAATGTTCTTCTATGTTTGGATAATAGAATTAGGAATATCTAGCTGTGTGGACAGTAAGAGGACTCAGATGATCTAGGTTCTAGGTATGTGTCTGCCATTTATTAGATATGTGTGCTTTTAAATTTAATTCTGTGCACATGTAGACGCATCATCCTCTGTACATAAAATTGCATCTATTTCATCATCACAATGACACTTTTAAGTAGATATTGTTATTACCATTGTATGGACGTAAAAGTGTACAGGCCAAGAGGTTAAAATAGCTTCCTCAGGATCAATGGGTGAATGGTAAAGTTATCCCTTGTTAAGCACTTAACGTGCTGGGGATTGTGCTCTTTATATATTTTATCTCATTGAATCCTGCAACAGTCCTATGAGATAAGTACTATTATCCTCATTTACACATCAGGAAACTGAGGCTTAGAGAGATTGCCCACTGTCACCTAGCTGGTAAGTGGCAGAGTAGTAGAGCTGAGACTCAGAACAAAGCCTATCAAGACTCTAAAGCCATTGCTCTTTTTATTCTATTATTCTGCCTCCTATGGGCAAACTGTGTCAGTTTGCTAAAGCCCTATCTTCTCATCTGACATTACTAGGTCACTGTGAGGATTACACCAAATAAACTGCTTGGTAGAATAAAGCACTCTATTAGATCTAAGTCTTAGAATTCTTCATATGTTTGACCCTGTCTGGTTTAATTTTTGGAAGGAAGAACTGCAAGATATTTCATGGATGGGCATAGTCATTGCAGGTTTTTTGTTGTTTGTTTTTGAGCCACGTGGCTTGCTTTGATTTTAAGAAGATTGAGTAGTTTATGCTGTAGCAATTTTGTTATACCTCCCTTAGACTGTCTCTAAATCTCAGAGCACCATTGTCTGCCATTTGAGCAGGCTGTGTCTATATAGAAGTTTCTCCATTGTGTAGTGTAGGCTTGCATTACAGTTTACCCTGTAGGACTAAGAGTTAATGAGTTTATGTAGGCTCTTTATTATCATGACACAACTTTATTAACCTCAACAAAAGTTACACTGTGCTAAGAAATTCCCTTGTGGAAAAGTTTTTTGAAAAATGTGTTTTCTTTGTCCAGCTAGCCAGGTCCAGAGTTCTCTGAGTTGAAATGGAGAGCTGATCACATTTGTCCTGCGTGCCTTAGTCCCGTGATTCTTTGCACAGTAGTCAGAATGAGCAAGTTAACAAGCCTAAATGTGACTTAGTTCTGCCTCTTTTTATCCAGTTGGACAGTTTCATTTTAAAGTACAAAAAGGCAAACAAACATCTGACTCCTATTCAGTAGTTGAAGCTTTCTAGTCTTTTCTGTATAAGCAGATTTTAGTAAAAGAGAACCATATTTTGAAGAATTAGGCATTTATTTTGCCCATTAGAACTGTAGCTTTTCCTTCACATGCCTTAGTAAATAAAAAAGAATGTAAATATGCAGAATGCTACTGTGATATTTATTTACCAGTAACATTAAAAACATTTATTATTTTTTAAGTCATGTTTTCAGCTCTTTAGGGAATGTAAGAAACAGAAGGAGTCTCACTTATGAATGGCCCTCTAATATGCAACAAGCTTTAAAAATGTATGTATAGAAATGTATTACGTGGGATTTTTTTTTTTTTTCTGTTTCACTTAATTTTGTAGCATAAACGATACATATTTGTTTCTCTCTTTAAATTGCCTGGTCCAGTTGGGAGGAAGGAATTGCTTTCAATTTGGAGAAGGCAGTAAATTATGTCTAAATTACTGAATTCAGTTGGTTTAATCTTATCCACTATGCAGTCAAAAGGACTGCTTGTGAAATCACATTATTATGCTAAATCTCGGAAGGTGAGTGAAGGAGAACCACAAAGTGTAGATCCTGCCAGGTTCCTTCTGCGAGTGTTATACCCATTGCTTCCATGCATTTCCTGTTTGCTGGGGGTGGGTTAACCTTTTTCTGTCTCATCTCTTCCTCTTTTCTAGACATCCATTCCCTTTTCTAAGCCTGTATCTTTCTCTTTTTCACATCTCTGTGTGTTTTATCACTTGCATCCTTTGCCCCAACAATTTTGTGCTTTCCTTTTGTTTAAAACAGGCCACTGAAGACTTTTTTCCAAGCTGTCTTGCCTTCCTCCTCGATGCCAGATACTCTAAAATTTCTTCTCATTCCTTACCCTGCTCAATCAAAACTCATTTTCTTACTTCTGCTTGTAGGAGGAAACAATTTAACATGTAATTTAATAGTATGCATGATTGGAATTGTGCTGCTTGGGTACAAGGCACAAATTGTGACTAACTCATCTGAGTTATGAAAGTTAATATTGCGTTTATGCAGACAAATCCAATGTCTGAGTATCTTCTAGTAAGGAGGAAGGTCCTGGGTAGAAACAGTCATTTGATTTTCAAGTACCCAAAGGAGACTGCTTCCCTCAGGCCAGAGAAAAGACTAGATCACCACTGCCTTTCTCCCTCCCATCCTAGAAAGGGTTTGCTTCAGCGATGCAAAAGTAACATCAATTTGCCATTCAAAGGAGCTGTTTACCGTTTATGACTAATTACCGTGTAGCACATTGATAATGCATAGCATTAAATATGTATCATCAGATTAACTTTGTTGTAAGTTCTATTTGATTACAGTGCTAAACTCCATCCATGCATAATCATAGTTTGTTGCTCATGTGGCATGGTTGTCTCCCCATAACAACAAAAACAACAAAAAACAATTAAGGACACATTGCTTCCCAGAGACTTGAACTAACACCAGTATGGGTCAATAAGCTCTTTCCTGCCAGACAACTAATAGATTTTAGTTATTTGTCAGGATAAATCCTTTACTAACAAAACAAAACAAAACAAAAACAAACCCCCAAATGTTAATTTAATCAGCAAAAGAGAGCCCCAAATTTAAGGTTATTAATAAAAATATTAATGTCTCCTTTATTTCAAAATATCTAAATTGAAGCTAGAAGTCAAATTCACTATATGGAAGAAGTTGAAAAGTCCTAAAATACTTACAAGAACACATAGAAACACTTAAAAAGTATACCATATCCTGAGATTGTTGAGGAGCTTCTAATATATGCAATTATGAGTTAGTTACAAATAATATGTACTAAATTTAGGTGATTCTTGGAGTTATTATTTCAGCTTTGAAAATCTGCTTTAGTGTAATTTAATTTGATCTACTGAGAGAAAACTCTAAGACCAGTGTTTTTAGGACATCAGTGGTAAAAATGAAATATTTGTAGGCACATTTACATATAGAACATTGACCAAAAGAAAAAGAAATTAGCAGTTTTAAAAAAGTGATTCAAGTGTTGAAGGAAAAATAACAGTATATTCTATTTTAGAACATCAGTGCATGCAAATGATTCTTAAATGCTGAGGAACTTCATGTTGGTAGGGAGATTATGGTCATGTTCACAAAGACTAAGCAGAAAAAAGATGATTAACATAGAAGGCAGTATAAAATTGCTGCAGAATAATTACAAAGATATGTAAAAAGCAGGGGTTTTTAACCAGGGGTCCAAAGGCCCCTGGGAGACCCATGGAGAGAATTCAGGGGCTCCTGAACTTAGATGTGAAAAATACGGCTTCTTTATTTTCTTTACCTGCTAACTAATATTTAGTATTTCATCTGATTAACAGTATAGGCAACAGATCAAAGTAGTATTAACAGTACCTCTAACTTTGTCACTAATAGAAATAATAAATGTTTTCCTATCACATTAAATTTGTGGCAGATATCTTGAAATATTGTTTATAGTCATTACTACTTCAAAATTACACTAGTTATTAAAGCTGCCACTAGATCTTATTTTTTAATGCTTTAATCAAGAAGCACATCTATTATTATATCACAATTTATTTTCTTAAATATCTTGATAACTATTTCAATATAATTGGTTTCTTTTGTAATTTTATGTATTTTACTTTATTCTGAGAAGGGATCCGTAAGCTGGTGTTAAAGAGTTCATGACAAAAACAAAGAGGATAGAAACTAGTCCAGAAAAGTTTGCCAATCGAGATGGCAGACTAAGAAGTACAACATTAGAAGGGTGAGAGAATCAGCTACATTCTGACCACATTGCCCCTCTCCAGACTGGCACAGCACTGCACCGAGAGGGCCCCCTGGGCCTATAGTTTCTCCACTGGAAAAAGAGAGCCCTAGGTGGACATCTAGCTCCCCCAGCATTGTGGGACGCTTCCCAGAAGGACCATTTGGGCCACACTGCATAGAGATAACTGGGGGAATCTGTGGGGCTCAACCACTGGAGATCAGATAGAGGTGGAGAAGTTGAGGTGGGGCTTACAGCAACAGCACTTAGATCTTGGCAGACTGCATTTCTGCTTGTAGCAGTGCCCAAGCAGAGATCCCAGCCAGTGGCTCTGCCCATCTTCAGAGCCAAACTGGTGGCCCCATCTGGCTAGAGAGTTCGGTGGACAGTTCTGCCTGATTTAGGTGCCTGGTCAATGGGCTGTGCTAGCCATGCAGCTTGTTGTGCTGTCCTGCCTGGGCTGGAAAGCAGATTTGCAGCCCTGTGTAACTGCTGAGCATAGCCTCTAGTCTTACCTGTCCCAGTAGCCTAGCCTGAGAACCCAGGCCACTGTGGAACCCATGCTATAGCCCTGCTTGGTCAGAGAGCCAAGCAAGCAGCCTTGCCCAACTGTTAAGCATACTCTTTGGCTCCACATAACCAGGGAGCTTGAAGAGTGACCCTGGATAGTCTCAGAGCCCAATCTACAGTAACACTGAACCACGGAGTCCAGACTATAACCCCACCCAACAGCAGAGTACAATCTATGACCCTGCCCGATTGCTGAACATCTAGCCTTGTCCAGGCCTGCAGCCTCACCCAAGCAGAGAACCCAGCCAGTTACCCTGCCCAATTGTGGAGCATAGCCTGTTGCTTCACCTGATAAGGGACCCTAGACAGTG